TCCATATCCTGATATCATGAATAGGTGAAAAACAACTTCACAGTATGTCCTAGTGGTGCTTGTAGTGGATGAAAGTTCTTAGGCATAGCTTCCAGATCACTTTTGATACATCACTAAATGAAAGAAACAAACACATAGTAATAATAATAATAGAATAATAATGATAATAATAAACTTATAAACAAGGGGGAATTTGACTTTGTGCCCCACTTTTTGGGTGATATTGGACTTTGCACCCCATTTTGGAAAAAACGGCTTTGCACCCTATTTCACTTAAAAATCATTTGACTTTGCACCCCATTGAGAAAATTTTATTCACAAATGTTATGTTATATGATGGGTGCAAAGTCAATGTTTTTTCAAAATGGGGTGCAAAGTCCAATATCACCCAAAAAGTGGGGTGGAGAGTCAAATCCCCCTAATAAACAACAACAACAATAATAAGAGATACCAACATCAAAGAATTAGTGACTAACAAAATCATGTAATAAAAAAGTTTTCCATGTGTGTATCTTCTCCAGATGATACTAGATGACTTCTCCAATTAGCTGCACTGCCAATACTAGATCCTATATTTCTAATACCAGCTACTTTATCTCCATGCTAAAAAGGAATAAACCATATTCATGGATTAGGGATCCATTTACAATTGAGTGATGCTGCAGTAGTGCAGTGTGATGGCTCTAAACCATTGTAATCAATAAATTATATATAATTGCATGTACTGTGCAGCTTATTTTGCAGCCTGATATTCAACAGAAATAAAAATACGAGATATTCAAGTTATGCCATTAGAGCAAAAATGAAGGAGGGGCCAAGGAGGCCATATCTTATCACGGTGAAATCACTTCACATAACTCACTCTTAGTTATCAGTTATCACTTATTAGTTCCCTAAGTATAGTTTAATGGAAAATGTCCTTACACTAAAGAAAAATATGGCCATTGCCCCTATGCCAGGATTTTACTTTGCAGGGGAAAGGTAATTTTTCCAGATTTCGAGGGGTGAAGTTTAAAAGTTGTATGCAGGTTATACATAAAAAGATGAATACGTAATAAAATATTAAAAGAATTAGTAGGCCGGGTCGAGGTGGAGTAGGATGCCCCCACCGCCCCCTTTGGCTCTCTGCCTATACACTATAGGCTGGACACTAAATGCCCCAGGTGAACATTAATTGTATTTGATCCATACTGAACAAAGTATATATGAAGGGAGAGAAAAAGTAGTCACCTTTTGCTCGATCGTCTACTTCCAAAGCTATGTCTGCGAACAGTTCTTGCAACAAATCGCGCGTCTGAGAAGGCGGTGTCAATGCCTGAAAAACAAAATTCACACGTTTCAATAACTTATAAACATATAAGTAATGAAGTCGAATGCAACAAAAGTACAAGAAGAGCAGAATCACAAAATGCCGAATTTGAAATACAATAAATCGATACAAATGTTCATACGCGTTGAAGCTTCTTCTCGATCTCCTGAGAGAGTGCAGTGATGTGAGATGAGCTTGGATGCGTTGAGACGGGAGGCATGTTTGATCAAGCTCCGCTTCTCCAGAACATTTGAGCATTAGATACACGCGAAGAACCCCAGAAAACTGCCCTTGCCACTCCGATCCAAACAAGATTATTTCGATTCAATTTACGGAGAACAGGACTTTCCAGTAGTGGGATCATTTACCGAGAGATACGTATTCATATTGTACGACTACAATATTCAAAGATTGCAAAGATGGATTAGGAGAGTGCCGTGGAAGGGAAGGAATTTCTGGAGATTTTTCATCCGAATGGAAAAGACAGGCGGGCAAGTGGCAGAAAAGTATCCTCTCCACGTGACTATAAGTCAAGTCCGATAAATCTCTTTAAGAAAGATGACCCTCCAAAATCCATGAGGGAGTTATGTAGGACGATCTAAATTTAGGAAAAATGTGCTCGAACTTTCCTAAAAAAATCAATTAAGTCTTTTTATAGGAGTCTATGTCCGGTCGTCGCGATTTGGGGCGGTTCCCGGTGGAATTTTTTGATGAATTTTTTTTAGCATCTTATTCATCAAGTCTAATTTACTCATACCAAATTTCAGCTAAAAATTTAATCGGGAGCGCATTCAAATTAATTCGAGAACGCAAAAATGCGCAGTTATCTTTAAGAATTAATTTGAATGTGTTCCCGGTTGAATTTTTAGCTGAAATTTGGTATGAGTAAACTAGACTTGGTGAATAAGATGCTCAAAAAATTTCATCAAAAAATTCCACCGGGAACTACCCCAAATCGCGACGGCCGGACAGAACCTCCTATACAAGGACTTAATTGAGCTTTTTATGAAAGTTTGAGGACCTATTTGACAGTTTTCCCCTAAATTTATGTAGGATAATCATTTGAGGCTTCGGGGGTGGTTGGATGCACTCTTTAAATCTATGAAGGAGATATTTGCTTGGATGAAAATGTAGAAAGTATTTTCGAATGCTCCAAATTGTTTTTTAAAACTCGAGAAACAATTTTTTAGAAGTATCAACTTTTAAAAATCGATTCTTATGTTTAAAAAATAAAAGAATCAATTTCAGATACCCTAGAATAATACATTTTGGATGAGCTACGACCTGATTTTAAGTTTTTACTTAAAACTTAAAATTTCTCTGGTTGTACATATCTTCTCCCATAAGGTGAGTTACGCCCTAGTTCCAATAAATTTCTTTGATTGAAGGATATAAATATTGATCTTTGATGGTTATTGTATCCTTCTTTTATCCCAATTATTATATTGTGGCCATATCATGCATATGATATGGGGGTCCCAAATACATAACAACTCTCTAAAAAACTCTCATTGCTAAATGCTCTTCTCCGCCCATCTATTTCTATCTTTGTCAATTTCTCTGATTTTTTCTTTTTTCTTTTTCTTCATTTATTTTCTTCTCCTTCATCATAATATTAAGAATTTGACCACAATTTCATTTTCTTCATCTTCTAAATCATGACTTTTTTCTTCTTTTTCTTTTCTCTTTCAATTATCTTATTCACATTCAACAAAATAATACTCCTTTTGTCCCACCAAATTTGGCTAAATTAACCAACATATAGGATAATAAAGTAAAACCTATGAAGCAAAGCCGTCTTTTAGGAGGTGCAATTGATGCTTAGCACCAGATCCAACTCTATATGGGGTCTCCAAAATTAATATGTTTAATTTTTCTAGTTGTCATGTATTACTGCATAACGTGTGAAACTTTTTATTTTATAAAAATGGGAAAAGAAATCATTTTTATAAAGATTTGACTAATGATTTTGCTTGAAAGACTGTTAAGAGGACTGCCATATCCAAGTGAAAGTTCATTGGCTATGCAATATTGTATTAAGATTTTCTAATTTGTGTAACTTAAATATTATAAAATTTATATTTCATTGAACTGTCTAATCTTTTTGTATTTAATGAAACTTAGTTACATAATAATATACCACTATTTTTTTCTTATTTTACGGGACCCCAATTCATTGTTTAGAACACAGTCTCTAAAACTTATTAGACGACCTTGAGCTGTGCCGTGGAGATTTGTACAAACGTGAAAGTCCAAGGGCCTGTTTACTAACAGAGACATTTTTCAGTTTTCTATTTTTTGTTTTCCGTTATCAAATTTTCTGTTTTTCATTTTCCTGTTTTTCTATCTCCAATTTTCTGTTTTCATTTTTCAGTTTTCCATTTTCAAATCTGAAAACATGTTCATCGAACTTTTTCACCCGGTTCTGTGTCCGACCAGTAAGCCGAAAATACGGTACCAGTCCGCAACCGAACCCAGTACAACCCAAGTAAAGAACCAGGTCCCACGAATATGAAAGTCGGGATCGAAACCAGTTGGTCTCGATCGATCTCAACCGTTGGTTTGACAAATTCTTTTATCAATTCCTTATTGGTTGACAATTCAACGACTCTTTTAAAACTCTTCACTTTAAAAATGATTTCAAACAAACGAGACCAAACCACTGAGCCATTGACCAGCGCGAACAAGGATCGTCGGGTCATTGACGGGACTGCCCCGGGACCGTCCGATTGTCGACCGGATCGAATACAGACCGTCGGGTTATTGGCCGGACAAGATAGGGACCACCGGGTCGGTGATCGGATAAGACGGGACTGCTGAGTGGTTGATTGGACAGGACGGAGACCGCCAAGTAGTTGATTAGACCGGGCGGGGGCTGCCGAGTCATTGACTAGACCATATCGGACCGAGACTCCCGACCGTCGACCGGACCGAACAGGTACCACGTGATCGTGGATTGGACCAAACAGTACCCGTCAGGTCATCGATCGCACCAGACATGGACCGTCGGGTCATGGACCAGACCGGACCGGGATCATCGTATCGTCAATCGGACCGAGATCATCAAGTCATCGATCGGATCAGACAGGGACTGTTGGGTCGTGTATCAGACTGGAAAGGGGCCGCCGGGTCGTGGACTGGATTGGAAAGGGACCGCCGGGTCATTGACCAGACCAGACTAGGACCACCGGGTCGTCGACCGGACCTGATCGGGATTGCTCGGCCGTCGATCGAACTGACAGGGACCGGATCGCCGGGTCATTGACCGGATCAGATAGTGACCATCGGGACGTTAGCCGGACTGGACTAGAACTGACACCGGAGTGGTACCGTATCCACCACTAGGCGTAAGTATGCAAATTCATTGCAGCGACACTGCAACATATGCGTTTTCCAAATATGGAAAACTAGTAAAATTAAAGTCACTTCTCCAATTCATTAAGGAAAATAGAGACATGTGTCATTTTTTTTTAATTTTGGAAAACGATTTGGTAAACGCATTTCTCTGTTTTCCTTTCTCCAGTTTTCCAACAAATTTCTTTGATAAACACGTTTTCTGTATTCCTTTTTCCAGTTTTTCAGTTTTCAAGAAAACTGAAAAATATATCTGTTAGTAAACAGGCCCCAAGTTTTTGAGGCGGCTAAATAGAAAATTTGGCCAAACTTTTTAGGACAAAATAAATTATTAATGGAAAAATTCTAAAATTTTACCCTTTATCTGATATACTAGTATTTATTTTGGAGTTATTTTGATACCGAGTAATATATTTAATTATTTATAATATATACTTCGTATTATCGTATATCTTATTAAATATTGATTGATTAGAAGTACTTGAGACTCGTATACATGATTCATGAAAGTGAAACTCTGAGATTTGAAATTTGGAAAACAGCAATATAGAATGCATGATGCGCGGCATCTAGATTAAATTAGTATACTCGATCCATTTCCAGCCACATTTCTCGCCATTATTATGGGTGTTTGCTTTAACGTGATCCTCTGTTTCGAAGGCATTTTATTGCCTCACATAAATCAATTTCTTCCAAGAGTAAGAGTTCTAAAAACGATCACGGCAACAGCAATTGTGGACTTTCCAGTTTAATGAAAATGAAGTAATGGATTCCGAATCGCATTATTACATACGTAACGCGAATTCGCTTGGACGAGAGCTGCCCGCCAATTTGCTATTTCGGACCATTTGAATTTCAGGAGAAGAAGATCAGAGACCGTTTTATTCATTTCCAAACCGGGCAATTTTAGCAGCGGCCGGCGTATGAAGAAAGCGAGAAGATGAAGTTCGTTACAGAAGATAAAGTTTGTTTATTCCAAAATGAAAGATTCTACGCAAAATCAGTCTTACTAACTGGGATTTACAATACTTTGTCTATTTATAGTAAGTAGAATATATTTAGAAACTACTACTATTCTTCTATTGACAGCTCATCATTTTTATTGCTTAATACCCCCCCATAAGCTGGAGTGTAGATGTCTCGGAATCCCAGCTTAGACTGAAATAATAGGAATTGAGGTGTTGATAAAGATTTTGTGAATCCATCTGCCACTTGATGTGCTGAAGGAACATATAATAATTTGATCACTCCTTTTTGAACCTTTTCCCGTATAATGTGACAATCTATCTCAATGTGTTTTGTTCTTTCATGAAAAACGGGATTTTCAGCAATGGCAATGGCTGATTGGTTATCACAAAATACCACTGCTGCTTTTGTTTCGTGTATTCCAAGATCCTGGTAAAGATATTTAAGCCATTGAATCTCACATGTCACAGCAGCTAATGCCCTATACTCAGCTTCCGAAGAAGAACGAGCAATTGTAGTCTGTTTCTTGGATTTCCAAGATATTAAGGCTTTGTCCAAGAACACACAATATCCTGTGATAGATTTTCTAGTCTCCAAGCAACCACCCCAATCAGAATCTGCAAAAGCTTGAGTATTATAGTTAGATTTTGCAGGGAAGTGAAGTCCTTTACCAGGTGCTCCCTTAAGAAATCTTAACACCCTTTGAGCTGCCATCAAGTGTAAAGAAGAAGGCTTGTCCACGAACTGACTTAGTTGCTGAACTGCAAAGGCAATGTCTGGTCGAGTAGCACTTAGATACAACAAACGACCAACTAACCTTCTGTAGGCACCAACATCATTCAGCACATTATCAGTAGTTTGAACAAGCCGTGTGCCTGCAACTATGGGAGATTTAGCTGGTTTACAATCAAGATATCCCATCTCTTGCAAAATGTCCAAAGTATATTTCCTTTGACAAAGATTGATTCCATGAGTACTCCTTGCAACTTCCAGTCCCAAAAAGAATTTAAGTTGACCCAAATCCTTGATTTTGAATGTAGTATGTAAGAAATCTTTAATATCTTGTATAGCAATCAAATCAGTACTAGCAGCAATTATATCATCTACATACACCAATAGAGCAATAAAGCAATTATCAGTCTTCCTGATAAAAAGAGAGGGATCTGCTGTACTTTGAAGAAAACCTTTATCAAGAAGAGCACTGGTGAGTTTAGCATTCCATTGCCTACTAGCCTGCTTTAAACCATAAAGTGATCTCAAAAGCTTGCAAACAATTTGAGAATCCTTACTCTGAAATCCTGGTGGAAGAGTCATATATACTTCCTCATTAAGATCGCCATGTAAGAAGGCATTGTTGATGTCCATTTGATGTAAATGCCAATTTTTGGCTGCTGCAACTGCCAAGAGTGTTCTGATGGTGGTAATTCGAGCAACTGGTGAAAACGTTTCAGTATAATCTACTCCAGGCTGCTGGGTATACCCTTTTGCTACCAATCTAGCTTTATACCTCTCTATTGATCCATCGGACTTGTACTTAACTTTGTATATCCATTTGCATCCAATTGCCTTCTTTCCGGGTGGTAAAGATGTGAGAATCCATGTTTTGTTCTCCTCTAATGCACAAATTTCTGCTTGCATGGCATTTTTCCATTCAACATGTTGTATAGCTTCATTGTAACTACGTGGTTCCTTAGAAGCTGAAATAGAGGCAGCAAAGATTCTCTGAGAACTTGATACACCTTTATATGAAATAAAGGAAGAAATAGAATGAGGAGTGGTGTGTCGTAGTTTATTTTTGCTGCAATCATAGTCCTTCAACTTGACAGGAACATGTCGAATTCTCGATGACCTTCTAAGTGGCTCAGCAACAGTTACAGATGGCTCAGCAACAGTTACAGATTGCTCAGCATCATGTTGTAAATGTCCTGAAGTATCTTCAAGTACATGATGATCACATGAAGGATTAGAAGTACCTGTGTGTTCCTCTGAGTATTCCATGCAATCATTATAATCAAGAACTGGTAGAGATAGATCAGTCTCATGTGTGGTCTGTGATTTGATGTTCTGAAAAGGAAATATAGTTTCATAGAAGTCAACATCTCTAGAAACTAAAAATCCTCCAGAATTCATATCATACAGTCGATACCCTTTGTGGCTTCCTGTATAACCAACAAAAATGCATTTCTTTGCCCTTGAACTCAGCTTGTGCCTGCTGCTAGGTAAAGTAGATGCATAACACAAACAACCAAAAACTTTGAGGTTATCAAGGTTAGGAATCACTTTATGCAATACTTGAAAAGGAATCTGGTTGGAAATAGCTAAGCTTGGCACTCTATTCATAAGATACACAGCATGTGTAACACATTCACCCCAAAATTTAAGAGGCAAGTACGCTTGAAATCTTAGAGCTCTAGCAATGTTAAGAATAGTTTGATGTTTCCTCTCCACCCGGCTGTTTTGTTCGGGCCTTTCAACACAAGAAAGCTGATGAACAATACCTTTCTCTTGATAAAAGTTGTCTGCCTTGAACTCCTGTCCACCATCAGTTCTTATGGTTTTGATCTGAGCACCAAAATGAATCTCTACATATTTATAAAATTCACTTATCAAAGATCGAACTTCAGATTTTGCCTTTAACATCCGAATCCAAGTAAACCGACTGTGATCATCCACTATTGTGAGGAAATACTTGTGACCTGCAAAAGTAGGCACAGAAAATGCTCCCCAAATATCCATGTGGATAAGGTCAAAACAAGCTGGAGCAATGGATGTACTTGGAACAAAAGGTTTTCGTTTTTGTTTGGCAAAATGACATGTATCACACACAAGGTTTTTATTACATTCAATCTGCTTATGTAGTTTCTGCAGTATCTGCATTTTATTACAAGAAATATGCCCAAACCTATAATGCCAAATGTCAAAACAAGAATTAGATCCATCACTTGCAGTAGCACACACTGTTTTATCACCACTTATGGGGCCTTTACTGATATAGTATAGTCCGTTCTTCTCTTCAGCCAAACCAATCATCTTCAACCCAAGCATCTCCTGTATTAGGCAATAACCGGGTAAAACAGTCAAGCAACAATTGACCTGTTTAACTAGCTTGCTGGCTGAAACAAGATTAAAGTGAAATTGAGGTAAATAAAGGACATCCTTTAGCCAAAGAGTATCTGTAAGCTTCACTTGTCCTATATAGGACACTTTGACCAGTTCTCCATTAGGCAGTCTAACAACCATCCCTTGTATAGGGTGCATAGTTTGAAAGAATTCTTTTCTACAAGAGATATGGTCAGTTGCTCCCGTATCTAATATCCAAGATTGTGTCATAGACTCAACCTTAGGATATGTAACTGTAGAAACACATTTTGGAAAATACTTGCCTGTTAACTCATCATTTGCAGTCTGTTCATGTTCCTGAAAATTTGCTGACAAGGTTTGTGATGTAATTGCTGCAACTCTCCCATGCTTATTTGCTGAAGCATCTTGCAAGTCTTTCTTGACAAATTGTAACAACTGTTGAAACTGCTCAGCTGAAAGTCCATGTGTCAGTCCTTTAGTAGTTTCTTCAGATTGAACTTGGTTTGCCATTTGAAAATGCTCTTTCCCTTTTGTTTTAAAATTTGGTGGGAATCCATGCTTCTTGTAGCATTTGGCCTCAGTATGATACAATTTTCCACAAAAGGTGCACTTAGATGGTTTTTCACTGAAATTTCTTTTTCCAGCATTTATGGCACTCACATAACCTTCTTGAGAGCTATCAATAGATGAATGTGTTTCCAACACTCCTGCATTTTGTCTTTCATATCTAGCAACCTTTCCAAAAGTTATATTCATTGAAGGAATAGGGTCAAGAGACATTATCTGTGACCTAATATTTCCATATTCTTCATTCAACCCTTTCAGGAATCTGGCCACAAAATCATTTTCAAAGTATGTTCTTATTTCAGCAAATTTCCTTGCACAGGCACATTTAGGATCACAGTTACAATAGGGAATAGGCCTAAGAACTGCTAGCTCATCCCACAATGTCTTAAGTCGCATATGAAAATCAATAACAGACTCCATTCCTTGTTTCAAAGTGTAAATTTCTTCATATAAGTCTGAAACCCTATATGCATCACCTTGTCCAAACCTTTCTCTTAAATCAGTCCACATTTCTGAGGCTACATCTATCCACAGAATGCTTTGAGCAATAGAAGGTGAAACAGATTGTAAAATCCAGGAACATACCATATCGTTGCATCTTTGCCATGTTAGATAAGCCGGAGTACCTTTCGCAGGTGTTCTGATGCTCCCGTTGACAAAACACCATTTGTTTTTAGCGGATAAAGCAATTCTCATTGAACGAGTCCATGATTGGTAATTCATTCCGTTCAGAATTGGCTTTGCTAGAACCTGATTCGGATTCTCCCCGATATGAAGAAAATACGGATTATTTTGTTCGTGGATATGTGCAGTCTCATCCTCCGATATGGTTGAGATCCGCGAACTGTGTTCGCCGGTGGTTTGTTCACCTCCAACTACCGCTGCGTAGCTCGGAATCCGTTGAGAACCTCCATTTCCCGTCATCGCTCTGATACCATATGAAGAAAGCGAGAAGATGAAGTTCGTTACAGAAGATAAAGTTTGTTTATTCCAAAATGAAAGATTCTACGCAAAATCAGTCTTACTAACTGGGATTTACAATACTTTGTCTATTTATAGTAAGTAGAATATATTTAGAAACTACTACTATTCTTCTATTGACAGCTCATCATTTTTATTGCTTAATACGGCGGCTGAAGATGGGGAATAGGAAGGGGGAGGAGGCGGCGCAGCCAAACAGCATAGAGGATGTGGAGTATGAGATATCGGACTTGAGGGAGAGGATAAGATCCACTCGCGAGAGCAGGTTCAAGCTGATGGAGAATGAGTTAGGAGTCGAGTTGACTCGCCCAAAATTTAGCAGGCAGGCAGTCATCAATGGCCTCAAGGGCGTCTCGCGAGGTCTAGTTTTTCATCCAGATAACTGGTAACAAACTATCTCCCGCTAAAACCGTGCTAGCAAGTTTGGACTAATACTGTTCCAGCTTTTAAGTTATCGTATGTACTCATTTCAATATTTGTAATATCATTAAATAATTAATGAATAGAACCATGAAGTTGCTATGGAAGTTGTAGATTCTACCTGAAGTTAAAAAGCTGTTTAAGTGCATGAAAGCCTGTGTTTTGTATTATTTAAAAAGTTTCCAAATTTTTTTGGAAGATGTTTTCAAAGTTTAAGATTTCTTTTGAAAAATCTAACCCGAATAGATTCAGAGAGAAAGTATATTACTTTTAACATTAATTAGTCACTACAATCTTGTTTTTAAAATCAAACAAGACTACATCAAACATTCAGCTTTCAACAAATAGCTACAAAATTTATCTTTTAAAAACTTTTTAGTTGGTACAAAGCTCAAGAAAGTAACTCTTTGGCTAATTGTGCCAAACATACACCAAGTTTCCGGAAAAACATTAAATTAGTGACCTACTTGTTAACACTTGTTAATGAACAAGGAGTAATACACATTCTAATACACATTTGAAACTTGCTCATGTCACTATGAAAGGGATACGAACTATTTTAACTCATACTATTGCAACTAATCAACAATTACTGTAATTAAGGAGGCGCCACACCCACATGGTTACATTTCACATTATAGTGCATTGAGTTCAGTAGCGTAGGTAGGAGGATCCACCAGACTGGGCTGGTAAAAATAATTTTCATTTTATATATATAACATTTGTTACAATGTGAATAGAAACATTTTTCAAATTTGGGGCGGGGCCTAGTATGGCCACCCTAGCTATATCCCTGATTGAGTTCCTGCCCGAGAAAAAAACTGAGTACTCACTGAAGGTTGATCAAATGCAGGTGGTATCGTGTATGGGAAAAGTTCATCTTGGCATGGGCAATTTACTCATCCTTCTTTACTCCATTTGAGTTCGGTTTTTTTAGGGGATTGCCCAAAAAGCTCTTCCTCTTGGATAGTTGTGGCCAAATAGCTTTCCTTATTGACATTGTTCTGCAATTTTTTGTTGCCTATAGAGATATTCTGACATACCGAATGGTTTATAAGCGTACTCCAATTGCCATTCGGTTAGTTCTCACTTCCCTCGTACTACACAGTATGAAGTGTATAAAGAAAAAACTGTTTAGCTGACCTTTTCATTCTTATGTTTTGTTAAAAACAGATATATGAAGTCTCATTTTATCATTGATCTTCTCAGTTGTATGCCTTGGGATATAATCTATAAGGTATTGCTCCTTGTTCCACAAGTCCCCACTCATTAGTTTCTATTGCATTTTGAATGCATCTTATTTGAATGCAGTGCCTAGATGCGTCCTTGTAAATTTGGAGTCCTGGAGGCTTTATGAACTACTAGTATATTAGCTGTAATATCACAAAATCAGCTAGTAGAGACGACAGATGGTGACAACTAACATGCAAATAATTGAAGTTGATTATTTGAGTACTGTTATAACAGATGTCAAATTTAGACAATGTGTCTTCTTTCACACTCTACTAGTATCAGATGTTACTAGTATCAGTATCACTTTTAGATGTTATCTTATGCTATTAGTATAAGTATTTTCTTTCTTTAACTGCAGTCCTTTCTAATTAGTTACCAAATAAATATCATCTGCCCATTTAACTAAATAAAAATTTAATGCTTTAATTCATGCATGTATTGCCGTAGTATCACTGTAATCATTGGACTTTGCCCATTCTAGTCTTGCATTAGTCATTTTCTTAAATAATTACGAGTGCGAGACACTAAATAGGCAAATTATTGTCCTGTTGTTTTTCAAATACCATGCTAAAAAGTTCCTATTTCTCAATCTATTTCTCTTTTGACCCACACAGCTCTATTTAACATAATCAGGCATCTGGAGAGAAAGAGGAAGTCAGGTACCTGCTATGGATTAGGTTGAGCCGGGCACGGAAAGTCACTGCTTTCTTTCAGAAGCTGGAGAAAGATATTCGGATCAATTATCTCTTTACTAGGATTATAAAACTCATCACAGTAGAACTCTATTGCACACATACTGCAGCCTGCATCTTTTACTATTTAGCTACTACTCTGCCTGAACAAAAGGAAGGCAATACATGGATTGGGAGTTTGAAATTGGGGGACTATAGTTACTCACACTTTAGAGAGATTGACCTATGGACACGTTATACCAGTTCTATGTACTTTGCTGTAGTCACTATGGCAACAGTTGGTAAGTCTGTTCTTTCAAATCATAATGTATTTTATCCTTGCAGTTTTGTTTTCTTTGTTGTTTAAGATGCACTCTTCTCATAATTATACTTGTTTAGGTTGCTGAGCACAATGCTTTTAGATATATTGGGTACTTGTAATTGGTACAAGGAAAACTAAGGAAGATATATTCCATGCAGATAGAATGGTTCTTTTACTTTTAAAGCTTTCTCGACTTGACATATTGGAGGGTTCTAATGAGAATCCCTTTTAAAATGAGAACTCATTTATAAATGAGAACTTCTAATCTCCACCTTTAATATTTCAAATCAAGGGTTAGGATCAACAAGGTGACATTTTTGTAATAATTTTCCAACAATTACAAAAATACCCAGTTTCAATTTTGAATAATCACACAAAGGATCCCATGTGCATCCTAACCAATGATTCAAAAAATGAAAGGTTGTGATTAAAAGTTCTTATTATAAGGAGTTCTCATTATAAGGAGTTCTCATTTTAAAATGAGTTTTTACTATATATATATATATATAGATTTTGGTTCAAGTGAGAAATGCATCTAATGTGAGAAATGAGAATGAATCTTAGCCATTAGATTTACGAAGTTGCACTAAAAATGGCTTTATGTTGCAGTAATATTTAAATTTTGCAATGTTGCACTAAAACTGTTTCATGTTGCACTAATATTTGACGGCGTTGCATCAAAATATCTTCATGTTGCACTAGACAAGGGTAATACGGATTTTTCAGAAGTATTTACAGAAATGCCACCGTGCTAGATTGCATATTTCAGTGCATCATGAAGTGTTTTCTACTGCAACTTAGTCGAATCCAATGGCTGAGATTCATTCTCACTTCTCACCTAAAGGGTTCTTCTCACTTGAACCTTACCCGATATACATACATACATACACATACATACATACATACATACATACATACATACATATATATATATATATATATATATAGGACAATTCATATCAGGCCGAGTCTATTAGAGGCCCTTCCCGGTGGAATTTTTTGATGAATTTTGTTGAGCATGTTCTTCATCAAGTGTAGATGATCTCCACAAAATCGCAGCTTAATATTCAACTAGGAAGTCAATTAAATAAAATATTGAATTAAATAAAATATTGAAACATACTGTGATTTATGTATATAAATAATGCGCAGTATGTTTCAATAATTTATTTAACTGACTTCCCGATTGAAATGTAAGCTGAAATTTTGATCATCTACACTTGATGAAGAACACGCTAAAAAACTTTGATCAAAAAATTCCACCGGGAAGACCCCTAAATGGCCTCGGCCTGACGGCGGATCCCGTCAGGCCTGCCTGATGAGAATGCTACTATATATATTTATATATATGATACATCGGAAAGGACCTCCCCTATATATGTGTATATATATATAGCAATGGAGGTATCAGATAAGTGTTCCTTGGGATAAATATTTAGGCCTACATTTATATTTGAAAAGGGAAACAAATTCAAACTTTAAGCTATGTCACTTATTAGTCTTAATAAAATACTATGGAGTGGAAATGAATTCCAGAAAAGTGTCACTTGATCAATTTTCATCTGAAAATGGCCAAGTTGAACAAGTGTCTAGCAATTAGTAAATTTCATTGGCATGTTCTAGTAAAACATTAAGGAAATTATGTGCAGTCAACAGTACATATAATCTTAAATCAAAATGCCTTAGCAAGTTAGTTCTCACCCTATTTGTTTTTTTTCTGATGCAGGTTATGGTGATATACATGCAGTCAATCTGAAAGAAATGATATTTGTTATGGTTTACGTGTCTTTTGACATGGTCCTTGGTGCGTATTTGATTGGTAATATGACAGCACTGATTGTCAAAGGATCCAAAACTGAAAGATATAGGGATAAAATGACTGATCTCATGAAGTTTATGAACACTAACAGAATTGGAAGGGATATCCGTAATCAAATCAAAGGTCACTTACGGTTACAGTATGAAAGCCGCTATATTGATTCAGCTGTTCTTCAGGATATTCCAATCTCCATTCGTGCTAGGGTAACAAGTTAGAGGCATTTCTCTCAGCTTACTTTGGCTTATGCTATTGTTGGTATATCATTACATTAAGGAAGTTATTGGCTTTAGGAAGTGATAAAACTACGGTCTGAAAGTACAAAGCCTACTTCTTACTCTTAACCTTTAGCTTCCACTTACTTTAAAAAGATAAATTTGGTTTTTTCATAACATGCAAGTTAATAATGGGCTATTTAGCCATATTACTATTTATGACAATATGTATCATTGATTTTTTCATCAAGAATATACCCCAATTCTATTTAAATTTATATATTATTTTATTATTACTTTTGCAGATTTCTCAATCACTATACAAGTCTTACATTGAAAATGTTCCTCTCTTCATGGGATGCTCTATAGAGTTTATTGGCCAAATCGTAAGTTATTCTATTGGCATTTGATAATTTTAGAGAATGTCTTATAGCCTCTTATTTCCATTTTTGGTTATCCTTTATCTCTCTAAAAAAATGTTTAGTTGTTTACAATCAAAACTGAGAAAACATGGTTGCCATTTTCCATTTTAAATATTATTTAGCAACATACTTCCTCCGTTCTTTTTTAGTTGCGACAGTCAACTTTGCACATTTGCCAATGCACGACTTTGACCGTCAATATCTCTTATTCTCTGTTAGTAAAAAAAATTAAAAAAATAGATTTTGAAAATTTGTAATGAGACAAATTGAACAATATTTTTTTTTAAAAAATAATTCTTATAAATTAATAAATAAAATGTAGTCAAAGTAGAGTGCGTGAATAGTGTAAAATTCAACATGTTGCAACTAAAAAAGAACAAAGGATAGTATATATTTTTCATGCTATAATAAATTTATTATCATTTATCTGTAAACAATGATGTTGGTTGTAGTTTTTTTGGTTGTGGACTGAGCATACTGTACTTTTTTTCTATGCATACCTTTGCTACTCAAGTAAATATCTTTGATGACATAATTGGGAATATCACAAAAAGAAAACCTATTATCTTATTTCTTTATATCACCAACTCAGGATGAAATATAACAAACAGCTTCAAGCATTTATTCTTAGGAAATTTGCTACACACTATTGTTAAATTTGGATTAAATCACAGGTCATTAAAGTCTCTGAGGAATTTTTTCTTCCGGGGGAAGTAATAATGCAGCAGGGGAGTGCGACTGACCAACTTTACTTCATCTGTGACGGTGTGATGGTATAGTGCTTCTCCTCTACCCACACTTGATTACTTATAGTATATATCCATTCCTTTTTAGTTTTTACAGCTTTTTCTTTTGTGTGTGCTGTATGATTTATATTCCTTCGCTATTTTTTTATTCTGCAATTATACTGTTTAATCTTATTTTTGTTGAAATTTAAAAACATCGTGGTTTATCATCTTCATTAGGTTTAGGTTTTTCTTTTAGACCCATTATATCTAAAAATATGGTAATAATTTTGAAGTAAGTTGTGAGTTTACATAAATAACTGTTGTATTATTTAATACGTAGTACGGAGTATATGATATTAAAAGCCAAAACCTAAAATAATTGACAAAAATCTGCATAAGTCTTATTCTTAATATGTTGGTATAATGTTGTCATATTGGTCTTTGCGGCACTCGGGTAATGATGACGATGAATGTTGTCTTATTGGCACAGGAGGAAGTTAGCATCGGGAGAAATGGAACAGAAGAAAGAGTTTCCCTTTTGGAGCCTAATGGCTCATTTGGAGAAATCTCCATTCTCTGCAACATCCCTCAACCGTATACTGTTCGTGTTTGTGAACTATGCAGACTCCTCCGGATTGATAAACAGTCCTTCTCCAATATTCTTGATATCTATTTTCATGATGGTAGAAGAATCTTGACTAACTTACTAGAGGTAATCTAGCTCCGCTGAAAATTGACCCTCAAATTTGATTCCCGTACCTTTCCATCTCTTTGTATGTAACCTTGACCTCGTTTTTAATGCATGACTGCTGCATGATGGATCTAAAAGAGTTTCCAATTGTAGGTAACCGGATCTAAGATTGGATTGAAGCATCTGGAATCAGATATCACGTTTCATATTGGGAAGCAAGAAGGTGAACTTGCACTGAAAGTTAATAGTGCGGCTTATCACGGTGATCTGCATCAGCTTAAAGCAGTTGTTCGCGCTGGAGCTGATTTCAACAAGAAAGATTATGACGGAAGATCACCTCTGGTATGAAATAATAGTATGAAAAAATCAAGCACTCAATTCCTTAGGGCAGTTAATCATTGCATAGGTGGCTTAATATATATCTCCAGAAAAGATAAACCCTTTATCTAGGATTACCAGTGTTTCTGCAAAAGGCATGTTCAATAATTGGTTCTTTTTGTATAAGGAAAATGTTGATTTATTTAATTGATTTCAAAGGTAAAATAAAACCTATGTAGAAAATAAAACCTTAAACTCATTGATTTCAATACTTTCAAATGATAAACAAAGATAAAATGTTTCAATATGAACATTTAATAAGAACCACTTTGTTGTTCAATAATAACTATAGTAGTAAAATGAATAGTAAGATTCTCGTTTTTCTACAGCATCTTGCTGCATCCAGAGGATATGAAGATATTACTCTATACCTTATCCAAGAAGGTGTTGATCTCAATGCTCAAGGTAGATCACCAGATTATTCCTTCAATGGCTGTTACTCTAAACCTGTAAGAAGCGTTTGGTGCTTCACATAAAAGAATTCACAGTAATACTTTTAAAAATGTGTAGATAACTTTGGAAATACGCCGCTACTTGAAGCCATCAAGAATGGACATGACCGGATTGCTTCATTACTTGTTAAAGAAGGGGCCTTGTTGAAGATTGACCATGCAGGCAGTTTCTTGTGTAACATTGTTGCAAGAGGTGATTCTGATCTTCTGCGAAGATTATTATGTAATGGTGTCAATTCAAACTCAAAAGATTATAATCACCAGACACCACTTCACGTAGCTGCTTCTCAAGGCTCATATTTAATGGCGAAGTTGCTTTTAGAAGCTGGTGCTTCCGTTCTCATAAAGGACAGGTGCAATTCATTCTTTTGTTGTATACTCCCCTCTTTCCCCAAATAGATGCCCTACTTGTTGTACATTTTTCTAATAGCATTTTATTCAGTATTAGTAGGCAAAATCTACTCCATAAAATGAGTCTTGTCGCATCAGGTACAATCTTTTGGGTCTTGGGAAGGTATAATTTATGGTAATTATCAATCAAACTTGAAATTTGTAATTTGTTTGTTTGTCCAACTAAGTTTCTCTACTTGGCTTGTTTTAACTTCTTTTTGGAAATATGGCTCTTTGTCTTGGGTGTAAAAATTCTGAAACAAGAATTCATTTTTTTGGGATGAAGGGAGTATATAGATTAAAACTACTACATGAAAAGTATTCTTAAACATAGACAATCAAATTCAAATTTTATAATATATTATATCAATGAAAATAGGGAAAAGGGGCAAATAAGGTCACGTACTAACCAAAAAAGGTCAAATAAGGCCTTATTTAGGAGGCTCTGTCCGGTCGTCGTCATTTGGGGTGGTTCCTGCTAGAATTTTTTGATGAATTTTTTTTAGCATCTTATTCATTAAGTCTTGTTTACTCATACGAAATTTCAGCTAACAATTCAATCGGGAAGTCATTCAAATGAATTCTTGAAGATAATTGTGCTTTTAAATGAGCAGTTATCTTCAAGAATTCATTTGAATGTCTTCCTGATTGAAGTTTTAGCTGAAATTTGGTATGAGTAAACTAGACTTAACGAATAAGATGCTCAAAAATTTTCATAAAAAAATTCCACCGGGAACCACCTCAATTGACGATGGCCAGACAACGCCTCCTAAATAAGGCCTTATTTGACCTTTTTTGGTTAGTACATGACCTTATTTGCCCCTTTTCTCATGAAAATAAATGAAGATAATAATAGTTGGTTGATCGATAGATAATAAACATGACATGAAGTTTCACAATTCATAACCCGGCGTGTAATGACTAATGAGCCTTAATTAGTTATCAAGGTTATTTGATTGTTAATATTAGTCTTCACTACACTCATTGCTGCAAAGGATACTTGCAGGGGCAGAGCCAGGGAACTAGGCCGGTACAAAGAATATATTTGGGAAAAAATTTACACGGATTTTTTTGCACTAAAAATATAGGCATTTTTTAAATTTGGGGTGGGCCAAGGCCCAATTTGCCCCTAGCTACGCCCCTGGATACTTGCAAGAATTCTATTATATACACAATGAGCATTATACTGATGATGAACATAATTTTGATTATCTTGATGCATGCGTAGTGACGGTGATGGATCCATGCGAGTCCCACAAGATTGCAGGACCCCATGGATCTCCACGTAGGATGCACACACACACAATAGGTGTATATACGTTAAGTTACATCAAAATTTCAACTTATGAGATGGCTCAGGAGACGACACACCTAATAAATCTCACTCCAAATGTCACCTGCATGAAAGTAAATGGCACATATTTTGCATATACGTGTCAAGTTACACTGTTACACTATGGATTATGTAAATAAGTACTGTAATATTTAACTCCTCCAAATGGTTTGCCAGATGTTGCACCTTATTAACCATGCAGTAAATGAAACAAAAAACTAAAAATAGCACGTAACCGTAGCGCCGCGGTCCTTCGTGCTATTGAAGATGGTCACAACACCATATCTTTCTCTAATTCTCTCTGAAGAGATTAACAAATTAATGAATCCAGAATCTGTCAAAACTAAAATGACAATGCAGTAACATTTACTGCATACTCTATAGCATGCAGTAAATGAAACAAAAAAATTAAAAACAGCACATAACAGTAGTGGTGTGGTTCTTCATGCGATTGAGCACAAGAATCGCACAAGAAAAATGACACAACACCATGTCTTTCTCTAATAATTCTCTCTGAAGAGATTAACGAATTAGTGAACTCAGATTCTGTCAAATATTAATAAGGGGTTTCACATTTTCAGGTTAGTTTTGAAATTCCTAAGAAACTAATTACCTAGTATTTAATTGTACGTTTCAGATTCTCTTTCAGGATGTAAAAAAAATTCTATTTTCCCCTAGATTTTCATATATTCATATTTCTTACTGTGCATTGTGTTGGCAATTTATTAGTGTTACAAAGTTGTTTTACAGAAAAAAACTGAAGTTCTGAATAAACTTGATTGTTATATTACTTATAAATTATTGCTTTATTGTTCAAGCAAATGTACTGTTTCAATTTATTAGAATGATTGATCACTTGTTGATTTAATAGCTTAAAAATTAAGTCCTTGTTGTAACTTGGAGGGGCACAGTCCTGGGGTAGGGATCCCAGAAGCCAAACTTTCTGGCCTGCCCATAGTGACTTGAGCCTCTTGATAAAACTTTTTCATGGGCTAATCTGGAAAGTTTCATCTGTAGTTGACACTTTTTTGGATTTTTTCGTTTCTTATATACAGATGGGGAAACACTGCAGTTGATGAAGCAATAGAAACGGGAACCAAACAGCTGATTGAACTTTTGGAAGAAGCAAAATCCGCTGAATTGTCTCTATTCTCAGGATGCCGGGAAGATATCAAAGGTATTTCTGTTGAAACATAAAATGACTCCATCATCATCATCATCACCCCAGTGCCGCAAAGGCTCCCACCTACGGTGGGATGGGGGGGTCGGATGTATGAAGTCTTATCCCTTTCCTAAAGCACAAAGAGACGGTTTCCGGATGACCCATAGTGAAAAACGCATAAAAAATTACATGGACTGACTAAAGTTATTTATTATTTTGGTGAGATCGTGGAAGAACACAATATTATTGAGATTACAACAAGTCAACAACAACAAAAATCCTGCCTATGGTGGGGTAAGAGGTCAGATGTACAACCTTACCCGTGTAATAAAGAGAGATCTTGATGACCCATATTGAGATTATGTATTAAATTTCTAAATCGACTGCTGTGTTTTGGACAAAAAATAAAATAAATAGGGATTACTTCAGTAGGTCTTACACTCTTACAAAACTATACCTATATTGGGAGTTATAAATAAAGCAAACAGTTCATGAGTTCTTTAAACTTTTTGAGTTTTGGCATGCTAAAAGTACCCACTGCTATCACATTACACAGAACTTGTTGTTTGCTAAAAACATAATGTGCCTTTTGGTATATATATTTATACAGAAAAAATGCCCCACAAAAAGTGCACAGTGTTTCAATCTTACCAAGGGGATGCCAGAAAGCACGGTGTCGTTCTGTGGGTTCCTGGGAGTGTACAAGAGTTGGTTGAAACAGCTTCAGAACAACTGGACTTCCCGTCAGGTTCTTTTATGTTAACAGAAGAGGGAGGTAGAATTATAGACGTAGAAACGATAAATGATGGTCAAAAGTTGTATTTAATGGGTGAATTAACACATTGAAACCTCATTTATTCCCAGATCCATCCAAGTTCTTTTTTATTTCTTGTCTGCACTCACGTGGTGTTACAGGCCTGCGGTGTATATATACCTATAGTATATTTCTTCCGTTGATCAACCTTATTTTGTACACTGACATTTGGGTCAATGTGTTTCAATTTATATGTTCTTCGTAAGTACTCCAATTATTGTTCCACGGTAGAGCGGTGTATCCAAGTTTTTTTTGAGGGAGGCACACTAAAAAATTGCTATCATACACATTTCACAATTGTTTTTTCATTTCGTTTAAAAAACATCTTCAAATTCCTTTTATGAAATACTTTTAATAGTTCCTGTAACTGCATTTATTATAATCCCGTCCTAAAATGATTTATTAGTTAACTTTTCTTGGTTAGTACAATTTCATTTTATTTATTTAGCATATATATTTTATTTTATATTCAAATATTGATTTTGCGGGTTTATATAAACTTCAATGTATGTTTAGAATATGTAATATTAAACTATTAAAATTGATTTATCTATTCGTAATTAAATTAAGATCAAAATAAAGAAATTAGATCATAAATACAAATGGACTCATTTGTCATGCATATGAGATAATAAAAAGTAAAAAATGACCCTGACGATCAATGTGAATGGAACTGCATGGAAATTTTAGTACTTAAATTAAGATTAAAAAAAATAGATCACAAATAGAAATGAAATCATTTGTTATGCTTACACACAAGCAAACTGGAAGCATTTGACCATAGCAATATTATCATTTCAAGGTTAAGTGGGGTAATGTTTTAATCTCTGTTCTAAAAATCGTTCTAGGCGTCCGACTAGTCCTCACCTAGGCACTATGCGGTGGTCGGGTGCCCCGATTTTCGCCTAGGCGCTCCGACTAATTGGTTTGCCGTCTAGGTGAATTAGTCAGTCGCCTATGGCGCCTAGTTGCCCGCCCAGAGCGCCTAATCGGCCACCTAGGTCGTCTAGTTTTACCGAACATTACTTTACTTTATAATTTTAATTTTCTAAGCGATATAAGTACTTTAACTGTAGTCCCAGATATAAAGAAATGATGTTGCATATTAAGATAAAGACTATATATGTTTGTATATATATATATATGTACCTAACTTTAGTCTCAGATATTTATATTTATAACATAATGATGTCAAGTGATTAGTTATCATATACTATGTATGTTTAGATGTGATAATTCCATCATTCATGTTTATTAATGTATGTGTATATATGTATTTTATGCACACAAGAATACAATATTACTTATCATATTTATACAAAAATATAGATAAAATGCAATTTCTATGTCTCCGACTAGTCCCCGCCTAGGCATTCGCCTAGCCGCCTAGCCGCCTAGGCGCTAGGCGTTGGGCTGACGCCCGACTAGCGCCTTTTAGAACATTAGTTGTAATTAAGAAAAATGATAGCTTACAACTACAGATGCATGTAGCTATCATTTGGTACACTTTCAAAGTGCAAGGAAAATAATCATGAAGAAGTAAGAAATGTCAAACATATTGTATAATTTATACATTCAAGGAAATTTTGTTAATAGCCCGTTATTTATATACCCAAAGAAAAGATTAAGACTAAACTCAAATAAAACTATCCAAAATTAATGTCGGGACTCGGGACAAATTTTAATCCAACATTTGTTTAATATTGAAAAGCTCATCATTTTTTTTAGTTTGGGGACCCTAAACATTTTAATCCAACATTTGTTTAATATTAAAAAGCTCATAAGGGGTTTTGAGCTTAAAATTGATTAAAAATATTAGTAAAATTGCATTGATTAAAAAACTACATTGCTTAAAAAGCTCCAACACTTGCATATTCAATCAAAATATTAGTAAAATTGATTTCCGAATCTTTAAATTTATTCATAAAATGGGTTTTGTGCATGATTAGTTAAAACATAAGGGGTTTTGACGCATTTTTCAAATCACATAGGGCTAATGCGCTGAATTTCTATATTAGGGAGTTTGGTGCATTAAACCCTTTGTTTAATATTGAAAAGTTCATCATTTGTTTGGTTTGGGGACCCTAAATATTTTAATCCAACATTCCTTTAATACGGAGTATTGAAAAACTCATCATTTTAAAGTTTTTTTTTGACCAATCATTTTAAAGTTAGATAGCAACAAAATAAACTGTGCTAACAAAAAGTACACATTAATAATGTGTGGCTGCTGGGATTCGAGCCCAGGTCTCCACGGCCACAACGTGGAATTCTTACCACTAAACTACAGCCACCTTTGTACACATATCCGAAGTTACCGTATTTGATACTTTTATACGATAGTACTATGTAATAGAATACTCCGTTTTAATGGCTTGGGAGTTTGACTCAATGGAAAGACACATAGTGCAAACTGCTACTCCGGGTATATGGTAAGGAGTAATTGTTAAAGAAATGGTTCGTAAAAACATTAATATATTTCAAAATAGAATTACTATATGTACTCCGTATTTACTAATTAAATAGAGATAATTATTGTTAAGTTTTACGTAGTAGTAAAAACTAATTAAAGGGCACAGCTTTTGTAAAAAAGTAGTGACTCTAATTATAATCGATAGACAATCTGAATATGCAGCTCAAAAGATACTGCAAATTCAAAACAAACAAACAAACAAACGGAGACATAGCATGCAGACAAGATCACAAATTAATAATTTCCCTTGGACATGGATCATTTTGAATTTCACTTTTGTCCTTTCCTGTTTTTCTCTCATTTCTTCTTTGTACTTTTTTCTTTGGCTAAAAGGTCAAATAGGCTCTTGAACTGACTTAAAGTGTTCAATTAGCCCTTTCTTTATATAGGAGGTTCTGCCTGGCCGTCGCCAATTGGGGCGGTTCCCGGTGGAATTTTTTGATGAAATTTTTTGAGCATCTTCTTCATTAAGTCTAGTTTACTCATACCAAATTTCAGCTAATAATTCAACCAGGAAGGCAATCAAATGATTTTTTGAATATAGCTGCGAAGTTAAACAGCGTAGTACAGTTTGGAAAATCATTTGACTGCCTTCCCGGTTGAAGTTTTAGCAGAAATTTGATATGAGTAAACTAGACTTAATGAAGAAGATGCTAAAACAATTTCATCAAAAAATTCCACCGGGAACCACCCCAATTAGCGACGGCCGGGCAGAACCTCCTATATAAGGGGCCAATTGAACACTTTAAGTCAGTTCAAGGGTCTATTTGACCCTTTAGCCTTTTTCTTTTTCTCACCTTGTACTCTTTTCTCAATTCAATAAAATTACACATTTCTTCCAAACAAAAAAGCTGAAGAGACAAAAGAAAATGAAAGTTCAAATTTATTATATCTAAATTTTTGGTAGTGCAACTCTTGAAAAAGATATGTACAAAAAGGGAAATGTCACACTTATTTGGCAGTCTAAGTTCTGGCGGTTCATTACTTTTATATGTCACTCCTTCCGTCCCGTTAGAAGGTTCTCACTTTTCTTTTTTGGACGTCCCATTAGAAGGTTCCCATTTCCATTTTAGGAAACAATTAACAATCTTAAGTGAAAAATTAATCACTAAATATTAAAAATAATACATTTATCACATCACAGTTATCAATACTCAATTATTTCTCAAAATATACTCAAAGTACTTTTTTTAATTATCACCTAAATAACCGTGCCGTTTTGCTATGGGAACCTTCCAACGGGACAGAGGTAGTACTAATTATAAAGTCAATGTATTAAATTAATAATGTATAATATGCTAAAAATGTTTCTGGGCTGGGCTCAATTGGGTTTTACAAGCTGGGCCAGGATGGGGGTTGATGGGTCGGGCCGGGTTTCAATATACTCTACCCCATGCCGATCCCTTCTAATAGTGGGCCGACCCGACCCATGACCCTTGTGGGCATGACCGTTATGATCATCTTTTCCAAAAATTGACCAAAGTCAATAAGCCATGGTAGCCAAGATCATCCTTACCGAAGCCAGGAGGCCTCCGCCGGCCCACCGTGAAAATAAGAGAGTAACCTAGATATCTAAAATATTCTAGTGAGAGACTCAATTCTCTATAGAATCCTTCAGTTTAGGACTTACTATACACTTTATTTCTAAATTCTATGTGCAATGTCTTGAGTTCAAATCACCAATGAGGTATGTGTTTATGCAAGAAATAAACTATTCTAAATTTGAATTAAGAACGGGAATCAAGCAAAGTTCGAATCAATATGGACTAATCGAAGGGATAAAAGTGTATACGTATGGTATATAACTATGTATTAATGGAAAAACTTGAATACAGAGTAAGAGCAGTATGAACTTCGATAGTGAGTAGTAGTATATTCGTAATATGCAATGTGTGTTTCACAGTCATGCTAGACTAATATTTATTAAACAAAAATACTCCTTCCCCAAGTTTCTCAACGTGCAGCTATTTTCTCTCCATATCTAACCGCTTTGAGCCTTCCCTTTGTTGACTCGTTCCCCTCTTCTTATCCTCTCGTTGCCGAATTCAAATATTACCTTGCCATTTGAATAATACAATGACGGGCCAACCCATCTTCCAAGTTACTAATGCGTGTTAGTCCATTGGGCCCAACAGTATGTTGGGAAGATTTTCTCAAATGATGATGCTCTAAGTGCAGGCTAGCTGCCTAGCTTGAGTGCTTTGTCTCGCCTCAGACGGTGATGTGAGATTGTGGGGAACCTGAGAGTTTTTTGCCAACTAGTGACAGTTCTCCTAGGAGCTAGCTGCGCTGGGAAGGACAAATAATTCAATTGATCAAGAACATTTTTTGTGCGCTAGTGTATAGATGCGTGTTTGAGTGTCTCGAATCCACTTTCTCAAGTGTTTGTAGAATGTTTTTGAGAGTTCATGATTAATCAAGTAAAATTGTGGCCATTTGGGGTTAACAAAAAGTAAAATTGTGGCCATTTGGGATTAACAAAAAACAATGCTAAAAAGGTATAACAAAAGTCTACTTGGGCCACTGTAATTGCGTATGATCAGCGATTAACAAAGAAAAACAATTCGGAGTACTACGATTAAGTGTACAAGTAAGGACACTAATTGCGGATAAGATCATGTGATATCCATGGACATAATGATAACCTATCGAGTATATATTTCTCCATAGCGCCGGTACCATCAATTAACTTTAATTAAATTAGTCAATTACTGATTGATGATGTTTAATCCACCAGACCCATGATA